GCTCAACTCTCTCCTCTGCCATAATGAGTGGACTCGCCCCCTACTGCTGATTGGCTTACTCTTTCCCCCATCATGAGTGGACACGCCCCTTACTGCTGACTGGCTCACTCTCTCCTCCATCATGAGTGGACTTGCCCCCTACTGCTGATTGGCTTACTCTCTCCCCCATCATGAGTGGACATGCCCCCCACTGCTGATTGGCTTGGACACGCCCCCTACTGCCGATTGGCTTACTCTCTCCCCTATCATGAGTGGACACGCCCCCTACTGCTGATTGGCTTACTCTCTCCCCCATCATGAGTGGACACGCCCCCTACTGCCGATTATCTTACTCTCTCCCCCATCATGAGTGGACACGGCCCTACTGCTGATTGGCTTACTCTTTCCCCCATCATGAGTGGACACACCCCTACTGCCGATTGGCTTACTCTCTCCCCCATCATGAGTGGACACGCCCCCTACTGCCGATTGGCTTACTCTCTCCCCCATCATGAGTGGACACGGCCCTACTGCTGATTGGCTTACTCTCTCCCCCATCATGAGTGGACACACCCCTACTTCTGATTGGCTTACTGTCACCCATCATGAGTAGACACACCCCCTACTGCTGACTGGCTCACTTTCTCCTCCCCCATCATGATTGGACACGCCCCTACTCATTTCGAAGGTCATTCAGCTGCGTACATCATCAAGAATATCTCATTTCAGAAAATTAACCAACAAAACTGACCATTATTCCTCATGAAGCGTACTGTAAGTACTTGTAATTTCTTTACGACTTTGGAAAGTAATGGTTACTTTACAATGACAATGTCGCTCCGTTCCCACAGCTCTCGGTCTGTGCAGCGGACTGCAGGTCAACGGCGCTGTGAACATTCATGTGTTTATGTGTTTGAAGCGTTCTGTCCACAATGTGAAGTGACAGCCAGATCTGGAGGGTCAAACCACAGCTGAGGGTGAGCAGAAGAGGTGGACGCTTTATTGATCTGAGCACATGCTGCTTTCTCTCTGCAGAGCTTCAGTCGTTTGATTGACAGCTCAGTCCAGACATCTGATTTCCGTGAAGAAGCTGTGTTCTTTCAGGCCGCTTTCTTTCTACTTATGATTTGTCCGTTTGAGATTGAGAAACGTAGACCAGCCAGGGCTCGAAATGGTCCGGGGTTTGGTACGTGCGAACTCATACTGTTCACATTTCATATGATGTGCATAAGATGATGCATGCATAATTGATGATGCATAATTTTCACATGCGTTATACATGCATTGCACATGCTTCACGTTTCATTTAATGCTGTAATCATCTGAGAAATTTAGCAAATAGCAATTTCTGAGTTAAAAAAAAAGGTTCCAAGTAAATCCTGCACCCCAATATTGCTTGGCGTGTGCTAACGATATTTACACGGACATCAAATGCAGCTTAATGCTTCGGTTATTTTAAAAGTGCATTCAGAAAACCTCTGCATTACAGCTTTTTCATGTAGATTTCCTTCTGTGGTTTCGTCTAGGTGTGCTCATGTTTGAATAAATATAAAAACGGCGAGAGAGAGTACTTTGTAGAGGCCATTTGGGGGGTCTGAGAATTCCGAGAGAGAGAGACATTATACATAATGCATGTCAGACCTGAACCCCTCAGAAAATCATCCAGACCTCAGTGTGAATATTGAGAGAGAAAGAATCTGTGAAGCTGTGAATTATGCCTCATTTCCTCTGTAAAGGAAGCTCTTTCTTCCCATCTCTCCTTATTTCTAGAGTGTTTAAATGTGCTTTATGGAACTTTTCTTCTAAAATGAATGCCCCCCTTCTACTGATTGGCTTTCTCTCTCCCCCATCATGAGTGGACACGCCCCCTTCTACTGATTGGCTTACTCTCTCCCCCATCATGAGTGGACACGCCCCCTAGTGCTGACTGGCTCACTCTCTCCTCCCCCATCATGAGTGGACACGCCCCCTTCTACTGATTGGCTGACTCTCTCCCCCATCATGAGTGGACACGCCCCCTAGTGCTGACTGGCTCACTCTCTCCTCCCCCATCATGAGTGGACACGCCCCCTTCTACTGATTGGCTGACTCTCTCCCCCATCATGAGTGGAGACGCCCCCTACTGCTGACTGGCTCACTCTCTGCTCCCTCATCATAAGTGGACACGCCCCTACTGCTGATTGGCTTACTCTCTCTCCCATCATGAGTGGACACGCCCCTACTGCTGACTGGCTCACTCTCTCCTCCCCCATCATAAGTGGACACGCCCCTACTGCTGACTGGCTCACTCTCTCCTCCCCCATCATAAGTGGACACGCCCCTACTGCTGACTGGCTCACTCTCTCCTGCCCCATCATAAGTGGACACGCCCCCTACTGCTGACTGGCTCACTCTCTCCTCCCCCATCATAAGTGGACACGCCCCCTACTGCTGACTGGCTCACTCTCTCTCCCATCATGAGTGGACACGCCCCTACTGCTGACTGGCTCACTCTCTCCTCCCTCATCATAAGTGGACACGCCCCTACTGCTGACTGACTCACTCTCTCCTCCCTCATCATAAGTGGACACGCCCCTACTGCTGACTGGCTCACTCTCTCCTGCCCCATCATAAGTGGACACGCCCCCTACTGCTGACTGGCTCACTCTCTCCTCCCCCATCATAAGTGGACACGCCCCCTACTGCTGACTGGCTCACTCTCTCCTCCCCCATCATGAGTGGACACGCCCCCTTCTACTGATTGGCTGACTCCCCCATCATGAGTGGACATGCCCCTACTGCTGACTGGCTCACTTTCTCCTCCCTCATCATAAGTGGACACGCCCCTACTGCTGATTGGCTTACTCTCTCTCCCATCATGAGTGGACACGCCCCCTACTGATGACTGGCTCACTCTCTCCTCCCCCATCATAAGTGGACACGCCCCCTACCGCTGACTGGCTCACTCTCCTCCCCCATCATGAGTGGACACGCCCCCTACCGCTGATTGGCTGACTCTCTCCCCCATCATGAGTGGACACGCCCCCTACCGCTGACTGGCTCACTCTCTCCTCCCCCATCATGAGTGGACACGCCCCCTACTGCTGATTGGCTTACTCTCTCTCCCATCATGAATGGACACGCCCCCTACTGCTGACTGGCTCACTCCTCCCCCATCATAGTGGACACGCCCCCTACTGCTGACTGGCTCACTCCTCCCCCATCATAGTGGACACGCCCCCTACTGCTGATTGGCTCACTCTCTCTCCTCCCCCATCAGGAGACTGAAACATTGATTGCAGGTAGAAACTGTGAGGAATGGATATTTGGAGTGATAGGGATGAGGAGAGGGAACATCATGCCTCCTGATTTCAGTAGAATAAGTGATTGTATACACTCTCAGTGTCAGCAAGAGCTCAGGCTTACTGCATGTGTGTGTTTGTGTGTTATGCGCATCTGATTGTGTGAGTGTGTGAGTGTCTGATTTGTCCAATTAATCCCTCCCTGCGGATGTTCCTAGAATGCCCATCAGACACAGGAAGAGACCTGGCCAGGGTCAGATACACACACACACCCACACACACACACACACACACACATAGAGGCCTGTTTAGCATCACAAACACTCTAATCATCTTCTCTGCTGTGCTCTGAATATTTTAGTTCTTACATTGGTTCGTCTAAATCAATCACAGTACTGTATCTAATTATATTTCTGTCTTTTGCTCATTTGCTTTCTTAATTCAGTTTTTCTCTGCTTTAGTCTTTTTTGGCACTATTTGTCATGAAGCTTCTTTGAAATAGTATGCAAAAGTAACAATCATTATAGGTTCTTTTTTTTAGCTATTTTTTTTTATCTTTTCTCACTCAGTATTGTCTTGTTTTTCAGTAAAACATTATAACATTCTTCAATCAAGATGCATTTAATTGAGAAGTGATACACTGACAAGATATCTCTTTTCTCTTTGAATTAAGTTTATTTTTCTGACCCCATTGGCAGATTTTTCTATACAATTTTGATAACATTATTCCAGACAACAAAACTTAATACCTGAAGTAATTTTGCTTCTTGAGAAAATTTGAAATTTTGACTGTAAAGCAATTTCTGCAAACCCTGATACTTCCATGGTCATGGTCAATAACCCTGATATTGCTGATATTTATGTATTGGATGCTCGCTGAGCTTTTAAGTGTTTGTTTGACCATGAAGCAAACCCCCTTCCACTCGCACACCCCGCTCACTCTCCCTGATTAAAGACCTTGGACTCGAGAGCAAATGTTAACCGGTCAGTATTTTGAAGTCACAGGCGGGTTTGTGGTGGGTTTTATGGTTGGGAATACAAAATATAGGTGGTTTTTAATGTGTAGCTTTGCTGTACTCCTGAATGAAATCATAGATCTTCATCTGTAACAATAACATGGGCATGATGAGCTTTTCAAGATGTTAGGTTAACATTTTATGGATGCAAAAAATCTACCTTTAAGCTTTTTGCAGTTCACATAAATACAGCACACTCTCAAAAGGTACAAAAGCTGTCACTGGGGCTGTAACTTTGCAAAAGTACCTAAAGGGTGCATATTGGTACCTTAATGGTACATAATAGCACCTAAAATGTACATAATGGCATGTGAAATGTACATTTTAGCACCTAATTGTCCATATTAGCACCTAAAATGTACATAATAGCACCTAAAATGTACATATTTGCATCTAAATGTCCATATTAGCACCTAAAAGGTACATATCGCCACCTAAAGTGTCCATATTAGCAGCTAAAATGTACATATAGCACCTTAATGTCCATATTAGCACCTTAATGTACATATTAGCACTTAAAATGTACATTAGCACCTTAATGTCCATATTAGCACCTAAAATGTACATATTAGCACCTAAAATGTACATATTAGTACTTAAAATGGACAAAAGTTTTCCCTTTTTAAAAGATACAGCCCCAGTGACGGCTTGTACCTTTTTTCTGAGAGTGCAGGCTAGTTAACTAAAAGAAAAACAACATTTTTTGTCACTTAAAAATAAAAATAAAATAATAATTAAAAAAAATAATTTTAATAAAACTATAATAGTATCTCAATAACACTGGCATTCAGTGCGACATGACATTTTGTAATTGTAAAGTACAAATACTTGCAGTCTCTCGATTAATAAAAACTCATAAAACGGCTTGGATGATGATTATAAACAATTACAATAATGTTTTCAACTGCTTTCGATTGAGTATAGCATATCACACTGCATCACATTGATTTGGTCTTATTAAATCATATGTTTAGCTCAATAAAACTAGTTAATCGAATGAAGCCATGACAAAATGTCCCAGATGTTCAGAATGTCCATCTCACTCATTTGCATTCAATAAAAGTGAAGGATGACATTGGCAGTCACATCTTCGCTTGTGTTCCGAATGAAAGTCAAATGCATGGTGTCCAGTCCACAAACTTACCATGTAATGCATCAAGCCACACCTCTCTCATTTGTGTGTGTGTGTGTGTGTGTGTATGTTGATGCGAGGGTACTCTTCTTCCACTTGTTGCTGAAGTTGCGCGTGTCAGTTTCATGAAGCCCCATCACTCACCAGATGTGGAGCACGAGCTCTCCCGATGTCTGACGAAGGCGAGTGCCTCCGTGCCTCCTCTTCCCTCTCCTCCTCCTCCTCCTCCTCTCCAGCTTCTGCCGGTCAGACTCCTCTCCCTCAGCCGCCAGGACCCCTGAAGCGGCGGGCATCTGCTCCACATCCACACACCGACCACCCGCACACCCGATCCAGAAACGCGTCTCCCCGCGGTCCACTGGAGTTCATCACCAGGCGCTCGCCGGCGCGTCCCGGGCGATACAGCGGCGCGTCTCCAGAGCGTGATGGTCTCCAGAACCGCGGACAGCGACCCTCTGATGAGACGCGGCGCCCGGAGGAGGTGATCGAGACCCCGCACAGCTGCGCTCCACCGCACGCGTGAGTCAAACCCTCAGTCTGAGACTTTATAACATTTTATAACACAGGGCAGGAATATAGAAACGGACAGATGGAAAATGTTCGTCAGGAAGCAGCATAAAACTGCTTCATCTGGTCTATCTGTCAGTTACCAATTTTCCAAGTCATAATGATTTAATATGACCAAATCAACTTGTTTGTACTTTATTAGTCATTTTTAAGGATTGGTGGAGATAAAATTGGTCTTTAATGTAAGAACAGCATTTTCACTTAGCCTATACTGTAAAAGCCTAGCATACTGTAAAAGTGAAAATATGCTGTTCTTACATTAAAGAATATAGCTCTATATTTACTGTGGGATCGATTTAAAAGTTTTTTTCTTTATTTTTTTTAATGCATGAATAACCTCAGTCAGGATTATTTTCATATGTGTTTTATTGCTCTCTAATTTTTCATAGAGATTTTCAGATGTCCACTTGAGTGGACAGCATGCATTTATGGGTTAAACTGAAGAGATACTGTATTAAACATAATACAATAATCAATAGATATAGTGTGTGTATTTAACAAACTACACTCTAAAAAAATGCTGGGTTGTTTCAACCCAAATTTGGGTCAAATATGGACAACAAACCCAAATGTTGGGTTAAAAATTTAATTTAAAATTAAAACTTTCTCTTTTAACTGTGGATTTTTTAATTACATTTTTATATCAACATTTGGGGTTGTCCATATTTGACCCAAATTTGGGTTAAAACAACCCAGCATTGTTTAGAGTGTAACTAATAAACTTGTAAAACTATCAAATGTATACAAAAATATGAATGTGAAATATTGCAAAGACAATTGATCTTCATACAAGTTGAACTTCACGTATCTTTGATATCAGAACATGAGGATGTTTATTTTACCTGGAAGAGGATAGTATAATGTGTGGATATTCTGGATCAACTTGGCATTTCTGACTGACCATTGGCCATCTTGGTTTGGGTGGTGGGATGTGTGTGTGTGTGTGTGTGTGTGTCCACTGTGAATCCACTGTAGAGGTTGATTTCCAACTATGCCATCAAAACCCATGCAAATTCAAGAAGCATGCAGTTTTTAATTAAAAATGTAGCATTTATAGTATAATACATTTATACTATACATGTGTTCTGCACATTTTGGCCATTAATTAATAGAGGCCGACCAATAAAGGATTTTGAAGGCCGATACCGGTACAAATATGTTTGGGTTTTAAAATCCGATATTCCGACATATCGGCCGAAATTTTTTTTGTTATTACATATTTTTAGGGAAACAGATTTCCCTAACATAGTTATTTGTATTTGTTTATGAGTTTTAACTAAAATAATATGATAAAGCATTTTAAAAGGAAACTTGTTTCTTTTATTGTCACAACTGAACAGAGGAACATCAAAATATATTAAAGTTCTGATAAATAAAATGATAATTACTCCCTACATTGCCTTATAAGCTACCTTATAATTACAATGTCAGATACGTTTGATACTTTTTCTCTATGTCTAAATGTTCACTCCTCACTCTAACTTACATATTACAATGCAGATAGATATGCTAGTTATAAATACAGTAATCATTACTTTATTTAGGCAGAAAAAGTTCATTGTGGTTTCCAAGCTCATTAGCGGTCTTCCACTGATGATAGTGGCATTAGCCAACATTGTGGTTAGCTAGTCTATGATGAGCCATAATTTAGCAATAGATAACATCATACTGCAAATTGTAAAACATACATTTTCAATATAACAGGCCAAGGAGAGATGATTGAAGCGTGTTTTGTCCGTTTTTATTTTATTTTTGAAATATTCATTTATCGGCCATTATAACTGCCGATACCGATAGTTTGGAAAATGTCTAATATCGGCCGATAATATCGGTCTAGCTCTACTATCACCTCAGTTTTTGTCACACATTTGTCAATTTAAGTTCTATTATTTGATAATAGTATAGATCTGATTTCGAAGGTGTTATGATTAGTGTTATAATAGATGTTATAATAGTGTTATAATAGATTTCTGATGACGCTCTCCAGTACGATGCGCATGCGCTGATCATCATCTTTGAGTTGGAGCAAAAATCAGGCCGAATCACCACGATAGGTCTTTAAACATTGATGTCTGACAGTATATTGATGTTTAGACGATAATTGTCTGAAAGTGTGTGTGAAGTTGAAAGAGAGACAATGGGTTGTAGTTTTGTTTCTGGCCTGAAGACGCTGCCTCCAGCCTGAGATGAAAACAATAATAACCTGCCAAAATATTCCAGACAAGCTGCCCGTGTCATCATCTGATCCGCTCCAGCGGTAATGATACCACAGGCAGAATCAGATCTTCATTAATCTCCATGTCAATCTCCAGATGAGACTCGACTTGAACATGACTGGAATTATTTTCTAAAGGCCTCTCCCAAATATAAGGACTCTGTCATCATTTACTCACCTTTATGTCCATATAAAGCTGTATGACTGTCTTTCTTGGAACAAAAAAGAAGAAATTGAAAAATGTTCTTGCTGATTTTCTTCTTTTTTCGCTCCAATAGTTCACTAAGTAGTACCATAACAGAATCCATATGACTTATTCACTACACTCAAAGTCTTCTTAAGTCATGCAAGCTTTGTGTGAAAAACAGACTAAAATTGCTTTTTGTACTTTTGGGAGCTTGTCCTTGGTCACTGTTTACTTTCATTGTGTAGAAAAGAGTGGTGTGAAAATGAGCCCCATCTTGTTGAGAATGAGGGTAATGTTTTATTTTTTGGTGAATTACGTGGATACAAATCATATGACAATATAATTACAGTAAAACAGAGTAACAATCAATAATACACTCACTTAAAGGATTATTAGGAACACCATACTAATACTGTGTTTGACCCCCAGAACTGCCTTAATTCTACGTGGCATTGATTCAACAAGGTGCTGAAAGCATTCTTTAGAAATGTTGGCCCATATTGATCGGATCGCATCTTGCGGTTGATGGAGATTTGTGGGATGCACATCCAGGGCCACCACATCCCAAAGATGCTCTATTGGGTTGAGATCTGGTGACTGTGGCGGCCATTTTGGTACAGTCAACTCATTGTCATGTTCAAGAAACCAATCTGAAATGATTCCAGCTTTGTGACATGGTGCATTATCCTGCTGGGTACATGGTGGCCATAAAGGGATGGACATGGTCAGAAACAATGCTCAGGTGGGCCGTGGCATTTAAACGATGCCCAATTGGCACTAAGGGGCCTAAAGTGTGCCAAGAAAACATCCAACACACCATTACACCAGCACCACCAGCCTGCACAGTGGGAACAAGGCATGATGGATCCATGTTCTCATTCTGTTTACGCCTGAATGTCTCAACAGAAATCGAGACTCATCAGACCAGGCAACATTTTTCCAGTCTTCAACTGGCCAATTTTGGTGAGCTCTTGCAAATTGACGCCTCTTTTTCCTATTTGTAGTGGAGATGAGTGGTACCCGGTGGGGTCTTCTGCTGCTGTAGCCCATCCGCTTCAAGGTTGTGTGTGTTGTGGCTTCACAAATGCTTTGCTGAATACCTCGGTTGTAACGAGTGGTTATTTCAGTCAAAATCAGTCGGCCCATTCTCCTCTGACCTCTGGCATCAACAAAGCGTTTTCTCCCACAGGACTGCCTCATACTGGATGTTTTTCCCTTTTCACACCATTCTTTGTAAACCCTAGAAATGGTTGTGTGTGAAAATCCCAGTAACTGAGCAGATTGTGAAATACTCAGACACCAACAACCATGCCACGCTCAAAATCGCTTAAATCCCCTTTCTTTCCCATTCTGACATTCAGTTTGGAGTTCAGGAGATTGTCTTGACCAGAACCACACCCCTAAATGCATTGAAGCAACTGCCATGTGATTGGTTGATTAGATAATTGCATTAATGAGAAATCGAACAGGTGTTCCTAATAATCCTTTAGGTGAGTGTAGATACAAAAAGGAACAAAAACAATAAAAACAGTTCCTCGCTTTTGTATTTTCCAATATAGAGAGCTTTGCTCCTCTTCCTCTACTTCAGATTGGTTAGAATAAGCCACACCCATCTACAAATGCATTATTATCAATAAAAGCTGTGAATACAGAAAGGTACTGCTAAATAGTTCAGTCTGATATAAATGCACTGTATAACTATCAGAAAATTATCTATTCCTACACTGTAAAAAATAACCGTGATTTTAACGGTAAAATACTGTAAAAATGCTACAGTGCAAAACTGTTAATTTGTAACCAGAAAGTTTCCGTACTATACACGGTAAATAACTGTGATATAATTTTACAGTAAAATACCGTTAAATTTACAGTTTTTTGAAAGTGAAAAAGAACAAATCATTGTATAATTTACAGTGAAAAACTGTAAATTGACATTCCCACAATTCCCTGTGTGACACTTCACATTTTATGTATTTTTGTTGAAATAACTATGGTTCCTCATAGATTTATTGTTTTTTTTCCTAATCAGTTATGTACTGTACATTAGGGTTATACAGTATGTTACATTTAATGTTGTTAAATTAATGTTTATTGCATTTTTTTATTTTTTTACATGATGGTGCTTAATGTTTGTGTGAATGAGATTGTGCAGCTTCTTTAATTCACTATTGCTTTATACAAGTATTCACTTGTGATGAGCTGTGATTGCTCATTTAACTCTCATCACTGCTGTGATGATATGTGGTTGTCAGTGTATTACAGTGGTCTAAAACAGATATCAATACATCAATAAGTTATTAAATTAAGGTAAATCCACATTTTATCAGAAAATAAATTACAGTTTATTTACTGTAAATTTTAAGTTATGTCTGTAAAACTATTAACGTCCCTACCGTTTTTTTAACGGTAAAGTTCTGGCAACCACAGCTGCTGTTTTTTTTTACCGTAAAATTTACGTTTTATTTTTTTACAGTGTATCCTTAGATTATTGTACGGTTAGAGTAGCAACATGTCCAGATTGAACTGGTGTCTCGTGTGCTTCATGAGAAG